TCACACTCTCCAGGAGCCTCCTCATCGTCCTCTAACCGTCGTTCCTCTGGGAGGAACCAAGGAGTACACGAGCTGTCCGCCTGTGAACAGCTGACAGTGGAGCTAGTCAGACATGAAGACAGCTGGCCCTTCATGAAGCTGGTGTCCAGAACCCAGGTACTGCACCCACGTAGCTGCGTTTTAGTTTTATGTTTAGACCAACAAGAAGTTGATGAAAACGAAGCAGAAATGTTTCTCAGTCCGTGTACATCATGATTACATTTAGTCATCTTAGTAACAGTGAGATACTTACCTCAAACACAGCTTGGTAGGAAAAGCAGACGAGTCAGGTTTAGACTATATATGAACTGTGGTTCAGGTTTAACACTGAAGATGTGTTACATATTCAGATGTTGTGGACCACAGCACTGTGCATCTTTGTTCCTTTGTTTTGTGAGGGAGATGCAGCAATTAAATCATGTTCAAACATAACAGAAATATAGAGTTTCTAATCACCTGTGTGTTCCTGCTGTGACTGTGAGGACTACTTAAAGAAACGAGTCTTTAGGAATCGTCCTCCATGCTAGAACGTTCCACTCATCCTTAGATGTTGTGTGCTGTTTGTTTCAGTCAGGATGATTTCACTATCATGTTTCTCTGCAGGTTTGCTTTGACAGTACGTTTGGGATCGTTGTCATGCTGGGAGATGGAGCAGTTGCCATTTAGACATTTTCCACAGTAGTAATTAACTTAAGGCCGGGTCGAGTCTGTATTTGACGTCATTGTGTTTGACCAGCAACGCAGCCTGTAGCATGTTTCTTTACCCGTCACATCTCTACACAGGTTCCAGATTACTACGACATCATTAAGAAGCCGATTGCGCTGAACACCATCAGAGAGAAAGTCAACAACTGTGAATACCAGACTGCAGGTGAGCCACGCGTAGATCACTGCGGCCAGAACATGCGTGCTTCTGTGCAGAATGTGAACATGTGACTCTCATTTCTCTCCATTTGGTGTCTGCAGGCGAGTACGTCTCAGATGTGGAGCTGATGTTCTCCAACTGTCTTCAGTATAATCCTCGTCACACTAATGAGGCGAAGGCCGGACACCGACTGCAGCGCTTCTTCCACGCTGAGCTGAGCAGACTTGGCCTATTGGAGCACGGCTCCGCCCTGCCCAGCAAACGCTCCCGACACTGAAGCAGACGCTCTCCTGTCACCGTCACCGCCGTCCAGGGACTGGAAAGAGGAGACAGATGTAGAAGTTGCAGTTGTTTTGTTCCCGAAGGACTGAAAAGGTGTCAAAATATATTAGCAACCTCTGTGCTCCGTTAAGCAAAGGGATAACGGGGGGCAAAGGTCAGCAAACACTTAGAAGAACCTTTAAATTAATGTTAAAAAGAGTTAAAGTTCCATTGTTAAAATGAGCTTTTTTCCACTGCTTCTTACATGAAACTGTTCTGGGAGCTCTGCCCTTCTCACGTGTCGTGCGTTTAAAAGCGTCTCTCTCAAAATTAAATACGTTGCAGCTGCTGTGAGTTCATGGGAAAATTGTGAGCTAGGCTTTCTATGACCTGCTGATCAGGGCATTTATTTCTAGTCTATTGGATAGACAGACATGTAGCAGATTGATGGGCACAGACACATTCCTGTGGCACTGTAGCGACAGTAGAGTCCCACCTGATTTCACCTGATGTTTCCTTTAATCCAGAAAAGCAAAAACCACTAAATACTCTGGGACTTGAGGCCCTCAGTGTTTTCTCAGGGATTTGTGATTTCAGTGTAAACTGTTTTGGTACAGCTAGTTTTACTGAAGCGGAGCAGCTGCAGGGATTCGGGGCTCGATCGATGGAAGTCTGTGGCCACTATTACAACATTAAATTGTATTTAAATAGGTTTTCTAGCATGTGAAGTATGACCAGATTGGTTTACAAAGGAACATTTAATAATAGAAAAATAACTGATTAATTCCTCTACATGAAGTTGTTTGATGGCATGCACAGCCTGCAGCATTGGGGTGACGTGGTTGCAGCTTCCATGTACTCAGACTCACTGTGGGGCGCAGAGCTGAGCAACTTTAGCTTGGTTTGAACGGAAATGCTTGATTTTTCATTAGGATACAATCATAAAAACTTTTTGGCTAAATTTCATTTAATGATGACACTGAAACAATAGCCTTGTTTTTATTGGGATGTATAAATTAAAATACGCAGGTAATATGTACACCTGTTTATGCTAATTATCAATTCAACCAAACTGTGTTAATCGTGGCTTCCACAGACTTCTGTAATGATCTACTGGGTGAATTTCAAACTGTAACCAATAACATGCAGCTAGTAGTGCAAACCCTTTCATGATATTGCATTGGCAGAGTTATAGATGCAGTTTGAGAGACTATGAAGATGCTTCAACATCTCAGGAACGCCTTCCCCCAGCTTAGCATTGAGACTCAAAGGATTCAGTTTGAAGGCGTGGATCTGAGTCTGTCGTGCATCGAGCTACTTGATAACAATTCTCCTTGTTAATCTGACTAAACACAAAAGTCAGATCTGATCACTAAAGAAGCGATTTGAGCTGGTCCTTTAAGCTGCAGCTGCCTCTGTGGATTTGTAGTTTTTTGTTTGTTTGTTTTTTTGACTACTGAGTTTTTCTACATTAGTTTTGTTGGTTTTGTCAGCATTGTCAATTACATGCTCTGATGATGATGATGATGTCTGCGTTGAAGGATGGAGGTCAGCAGTAGACACTACACTGGAGCTGCTGCAGCCTCACTCCTCCCCTCCCCGTCTGCTGTGTATTTATTTAGCCTCAGTATTGTCTTTATTTATGACTGCTAGCCTCCCTCTTCCTCCTGAAGCTTTCATCTGTTTGTTGTTCTAATGTAAAAATAAATTGACTTTTTATAAGCAACTACATCCAGTCACATGAATCTGTTTTCTTACATTATATATTCTTTTCTTTCGTACATTATAATCTGAGGCGATAACTGAAATATTCACCGTTACTATCAGAATTAATCAGGATCTAAAAAAATGAAAGCCATCATGTAAAGTCCACATTTGAGCGCACAAAAACAGTTTGCAGACTAGTTGGGCAAAGAAGCCTCTGCCACCTGTCTCGAGCAGGTTCACCTGTGTCTGCCAGCCTTCATCACCACAGTCCTGCACCATGGCTCCTCGCACCCCTCTTCCGATGATCAACTACACAATGATGATCTTTTTCCCTCTGTGGAGAGCAAAACTACTGGTCTTATGGTAGTGTGGATAACATCTGGAACCTGCGGCTCCTCTTCAGGTCTGCTCTTGGTTTCCAGTCTTAGGCTGACTGAAGTAGGCTTCAGCTGGTTTTACTGGCTTTGCTCCCTCTGCCATAAAGGTTATTGCAGGTGTAGTCTTAGCTGTAAATGGACTTTCCCTGAGCCAGTAC